TTCAATGCTGCTAATGTGGCTTTAGTAGCTCTTCCATTTCGTGTCTGTTGACTTTTTAATAAGCATCACAGAGACTATTCTGGTTGGTCGAGTTTATGGGACAAGTTTTCTCAGATATAATTGTTTGTTCACAAAGATAAATCATTCTCACCGCTCCACAACGCGCATCTCTGAATTCGCTACAAGTTATTCCTGCGGTTCACATTGAGCTGCGCAACCAAAGCTAACGCGGCGGGTTTAAAACTCTTACCTAGAGTTCTCCAGAGGATCATAATTCCTCACAGTAGGTTTATGTAAATATCCATACAGGTCAGCCTGTGTCCAGTTTGAGTGAAAGGAGGCACGCGTGATCTCGCTGAGGCAAAGCACAGAGGCGCCAGCTGTGCGATTGGTCAGCGCGCTGTTGGCTTTTAAATGCATAAACTATAAACCTATTATAAACCTATCCTTTAGGAATAAATCTGCTCTACTAGTGAAATGCTAAGAGATAAAGAGACGCTTGCAGCCTAGCTTAAAAAAAAAATAAATAAAAAATGTTTTTTTTTTTTTTTTTATTTTATTTTCTGGGCAGGGCTACAAAGCATGGCAGGCCGCCAGGCTTATAATACACTGGGGGAAACCCTGACAAGCATAAAAATCAAAACATCTACAATAGTGACAGTAATATTAATGGTAAAATCATTATTTTACCATTAATATTACTGTCACTATTGTGACAGTAATAGTAATGGTATTACTATTGGCAGGCTAATTGGCAGGCAAAGTAGCCTGCCAATTCTTTGGTGGGTGGCGGTGAGGGACCTGAATAAAGGGTAGGGGGGTGCTGGGCCAAAAAAGGTTCAGAAACACTGATTTATATTGTTACATTACTTGAAATTTTCAGTAAAGTTAAAATTTCTGATAAAATCACAGGCCTATAAAAAAGGCAGTCCTATATGGTAATAATTAAACACTTAAAGCAAAAATGTTTAACCAGGTTGTTACAAAAAGTCTCACTAGTTGATTTATTCTGTTAAAAAAAACATATTTCCTGTTGGGATCTGTGGAACTACTGCATACCTCACCACTAATGCTGCAAATGCTGAGGTCAGCACATGGTCTGCATAACTGATTCACCAACATAGAAAATTACCTTTTCTGTTGCTTTTAAACACACTGGACATTCTTTGGCCAGGGGAATTTTAGCCAGTAAGCTAAAACCCACCAAAAGCAACTTATTTTTGCCATGGAGTGGACATTTATAGTGCAATTTCTATATACAGTTGATATTGCAAGAAAATGAAGTGGAACTATAGAAGCAGTAGAACACTAGGCTTCTGCCAACCCAATTTACTCAAAACTGTCTTCTGATGTCCAAATTAGTCAGGAAACGTTATCATTATGTTAAAGGATCTGTTGTCAAAAATGCAGTAAGAAAAAAGATAATATCTAACTTGCTGTCAGACGTTAGCAGCTGTGCTGTCATCTTGCTGTAGCCTTGTTTGGCGTCTTCTTCAAAAGTTGCCGCTCTTACTGAAAGCTCCCCAAACAAATCAACCAGCCAGGAAAGGCGAGCAATTCCACTGAATGCAGGAAAACCAAATCCAGGCTTCAGTGCTCCACCTGAGACAGAGCAAGACCTACTTCAAAAATTAATGAATGGTATTGTTATAAAAAAATAAAAAATACAAAATACAGTTAGATCAATTCCAAAAGCTCACAAAGGCTTTTTTCTTTTGCCTTTCCAATTTGCATTTTATAGTTGTAAAGGTTTCAATTTAAACATGATCTTTAATCACCTGTACATACATGTTGTAAATACTGTTGTATTTTTGAAATGCAAAAAAAAAAAAACTAGTCGTTTACATTTTTACTCAACACAACCAGAATTTAAAGCAGGAAGGGAAGCAAGGGATCAAGCTTTGAATCTATCAGTCTAAATCCAGTGTGAGGTTTAGAGAAAGGACGACGTCCTCGTAGTTGATGTATGGTGAGCATGCAAACAGGGACAGCTCCTTTATGTAAAGTTAAAAAATATCTGTGCCACCCTTCATGACATTTCTTCCTTTCCTCAAAATACAGTATTTAAGTTTTTGTAGTTTATTTTATTTTTTTTATTTTATCTTCATTGATTCTCAAGGAAGCAAATTTTAAAGACATACACACACACTGAGAAAAAGAGATAAGTATTCTTGTGCTTTATAATGTTTCTGACAAGTCTGAAGTGCAGATAAAGCTCTTGCTTTTTACCAGCAAAGTGAAGAGAACCTTCCAACAGGGTTTTCCCTTCTACTTCTTTCTTCAGCTGTTTGTAATCTTCTGTCAGCAGCTCAATGTGCTCCTCGTGTAGAACCACCCCTGCAGACAAACAGAAAAACTTCTCAACCTGTTCACTTTCCCGGGCGGGAGGTAAACAGGTTCACTTCCCGTTTACTTCCAGTCCAGAAGTGTACGGGAAGTGAACAGTAGTTTGGTCTGTACTGTTCTGGGAATATTTTTGTATTTTCCGAAAATCAGAAGTTGCTATTTCTTTTCTTCTGTGGGCCAAAAACAAATGGTGTTAATACTATTTCAAAAACAATGTTTGCAGATTATCTACTGCACTTTGGGTAGAGGTGATACATTTTAAAACCTTGAACAAACAGGTTAATGATAAAAGTAATGGAGTTCACCTTTTTTCTGGGCTAAGTCCCACAGTTGAGCAGCAGCCTGGTAAGACAGGGCCATGGGATACTCCACACAGACGTGCTTCCCTGCTTCCAGAAACATCCTGGACAGAAGAGTGAGTTAACCCTTGTGTTGTCTTGCAGGTCCAAAGCAACCCGCAAGACAACACAAGCCAATTTGAAGTTTTATGACTTTTCCTAAATTGATCCCATCATTAGAAAAAATTATACTTTTTAGGCCCGAGCAGCAAAGCGCTGTCGAAGGCCTATTGTTATCGGAGGATTTCTTATTCTTGTTTTATTATTAAGGCTCCAACTCTGGCTCTCTTGACCTAATCAAGATGATCTTGTGTGAGATGACTGATAACAAGTTGGTCTCACTTGCTTTAAAGCACAAAGAGTTTTCAGTAGAGGGCGTGGCCATGGCAGCACAGCGAAGTCAGAGGTCACGCCGCCACCATACGTTTGGCTCTAGATTCCACATGTTTCAGCCCAGCTGCACCAAACTCACTGAGATTGATCCATTTCCACCCCCCAAGCCATGCTTTATCCCAGAATTCTGAAACTTGGTACACATGTGTATCATGTCAGGACCTACAAAAAAGTCTCTTGGAGCCATGGTCCAAACCCAACAGGACCAAGCTGTACAACAGCTTTTCCATAATCACAAGTTCTCCACCAAGCTCACTGCACTCTAAGATCAGGGCACCAAGGTCAATGTGAGACATGAGCTTAAAAAACAGTAACAGTTTCATCCAATTAGCCAAATACAACACTGGCAGAGTTTTAATGCATGGCACCAGATATACTGCAGCACAGTTACTCTTGTATCCAAACAGTCCTTTAAACTGTTATATTCCAAACACTAATATTAGCAAAAACATTTTAAAATAGCCAAAAGGGCTGGATTTTAGCAAGTTCATGCTTTAGTGACTCCTTTGGATGTTTATTATTTATTTTATTACTGTCATTTTTAAATTATGATGTTCAATAAACTCTGAAATATAAAAATATTGGCCAACTATCTTTTAATGGCCCTGTCATTCCCCTCATTTGCCTGGGGATGCATTTACATTCACTGACACTTTACACCAGTGGTCCCCAACCTTATCACCACGGACCAGTCAAAGCTTGACAATTTTATTGCGGCCCGGCGAGGGGCAGAGGGAGGGTGTGTCTGAACCGTCAGACAAGGCTTCTGCATGTTGGTGTGGCAGCTAAAACCCAGTTCACATGGCACCATATTCAATTTTAGACAATTGGAACGTTCCAAGTTCTAAGATTGTCACTTACAATAATCGTGCAATGTGTGGTGTATTACCGCTCCCATCTAACATCAGGCCTATTCAACATGTTAGATTGTCTTGGCCCTTTTATGTGGGAGTTTCCCTGACTGGGAGCGAGAACGCAGCCTGTTGTGACAGGTAGCTTATCAGGTAGCGCAGTGACATAAGCACAGAGGGGAATCCCAAATAGCTGCCATTGAGCAACCGAAAGTCTGGTGGACATTGGAGATGATATTTGGAAATAGCATGAATGTTTGTACAGCATTTCTTACAAGGAATATCAACAGAAATGACGAGGAGAGGAGCGAAACTGGTACCGCAGTTGATAAACCCGGTAACTTTTCAGCTTTCATTAACCTGACATATGTTATAACGATAAGGAAGTTCATTCAGTCAGCGCTTAACGCTGACACCAGTCACATGCATTGTAGGTAGATTGTATTTGTAATTAGTAAAACACAACATTATTTTGTACTAAAGCCTGGTTCACACGGCAAGATATTAAAATTAGTTAATCTACTGGGTTATCCATTATTTTGTGGCCATTGTTTGCTATGTAAACATCAAAACAGTAAATACATAATTATATAATTAAGCAGTGAAGCTAAATGAAACGACAAAACAGAAAATCTAAACACAGAGTAAGAAAAAATGTTAACTACGAAGAAACATAATTCACCTCCATATCATAAATAGAGCAGCTGCTCCCTCTGTCTTTTATCCATCGCCTTTTTTTGTTTCGCTTTTTATCGCTTAAAATGAGTCCACAAACTATCACTGTTGTTTCTACATCATCATCCATATTTGTTTATTCTAAATTCACGTGTGGTATGTTGGGGGTTTTACGGGATTTTCTTCTGGAATCGGGATATTCATCAGTGAAATCAGTTCGTGTGTGGTGTGTTGCTCCTGCCGTGTGATTGGACACAAGAACTGATTAAACCTGTTGTACTTTTATTGGCTCAAATGAACTCACAGAGGTTTGGGACAATTCTTAAATCGTGCCGTGTGAACCAGACTTAAGACTCACAAGCTCTACTCCTCTCCTCTGGTCTCGACCAATGGCCCAACGCTCTCCGACTCTGGTCGCTATGGTAACATTTACACCTTCAAAATAAGATACAGAAGCGCCTCAAAAACAAACATTTTATTTTCATGAAAATTTTAACTCACGATAAGGGCAAATTAATGGGAGC